AATGTCTGCACCCCATCAGTATGAACCATATAAAATCAAGTCAGCAAGGTTTTTCACTTTCAGGAGATAGACGTGGACGCAGTAGCATGTGATGGCGTAGTGATGGCCATTGCAGTGTGTGAACATGTGGAAAATGCAGGTGTTCACTCTGGCGACGCCACCTTGGTGACGCCGCCCCAGGACCTCAACCAGAAGACCATGGAGAGGATCAAGGTGATCGTTCATGCCATTGGCCAGGAGCTGCAGGTCACTGGACCCTTCAACCTGCAGCTGATCGCCAAGGTGGGTATTCTTCTGGCGATTCTTCCGTGTTAGTTTTAATAACTCCAATAACATGGATAAGTCATAGTAGGGGTGGGCGATGGTCACTTGAGATAATATCATGATATTGTAGTTACTGTATATGTGACGTTTCAGCCATTTAAACTGGTTTTCCTTCAGGCCTTAACATTGACATTTTTACCAAGTTGGTCTATTTGGCCCAACAGTTGAATCTTGTATTTTGATTTATAGGATGACCAGCTGAAGGTGATTGAGTGCAACGTCAGGGTTTCTCGCTCCTTCCCCTTTGTATCAAAGACCTTGGGTTTGGACCTTGTTGCCCTGGCAACCCAGGCCATTATGGGGGAGGAAGTGGAGCCTGTGGGCCTAATGAATGGAAAAGGGATTGTGGGAGTCAAGGTAACCCAGCAAAGTTAAACTATGACTTTTTATCACTTGTTGGGACTATATAGAGAGCAAGAGTCCATTTCAGCTCACGCTGTCATGTATTCCTCCCAACCGCATGTCACATGTACTCTAGGTTCCCCAGTTTTCATTCTCTCGGCTGGCCAGAGCTGATGTGGTGCTTGGGGTGGAGATGACCAGCACTGGAGAGGTGGCCTGTTTTGGAGAAAACCGATATGAGGCTTACCTCAAAGCCATGCTCTCCACAGGCTTCAAGATCCCCAAAAAGAACATCCTGCTCTCCATCGGCAGCTACAAGGTACCTGCAGAATGGGACTGATATCTAAATTAAACACTCTTTTAAGCAGGGAGCCAACAGTCGGTAACTTGGCAAATGTAAATGTCGTGTTCAGGTGGAAGTTTATCATTTGCAGTGTAGAGATTAACTGCTTTGCAATGTCATAAG